TTTAATATATTTTATAAGATTTATATCTTTAGTAACAGATAAGGCTTCAATAATTAATGTATTTTATAATAGATTTATATCTTTAATAACATATTAGACTTCAATATTTAATATATTTTATAATAGATTTATATCTTTATAACAGATTAGACTTCAATATTTCATATATTCTATAATAGATTTATATCTTTAATAATAGATAGACTTCAATATTTAATATATTTTAATAGATTTATATCTTTAATAATAGATTAGACTTCAATATTTAATATATTTTATAAGATTTATATCTTTAATAATAGATTAGACTTCAATATTTAATATATTTTATAAGATTTATATCTTTAATAATAGATTAGACTTCAATATTTCATATATTCTATAATAGATTTATATCTTTAATAATAGATTAGACTTAATATTTAATATATTTCATAATAGATTTATATCTTTATAACAGATTTGACTTCAATATTTTATATATTTTATAATAGATTTATATCTTTAATATCAGATTAGACTTCAATATTTAATATATTTTAATAGATTTATATCTTTAATAATAGATTAGACTTCAAGATTTAATATATTTCATAAGATTTATATCTTTAATAATAGATCAGACTTCAATATTTAATATATTCTACAATAGATTTATATCTTTAATAATAGATTAGACTTAATATTTAATATATTTCATAATGGATTTATATCTTTATAACAGATTTGACTTCAATATTTTATATATTTTATATATTTTATAATAGATTTATATCTTTAATAATAGATTAGACTTCAATATTTTATATATTCTATAATAGATTTATATCTTTAATAACAGATTAGACTTCAATATCTAATATATTTCATAATAGATTTATATCTTTATAACAGATTTGACTTTAATATTTAATATATTTTATAAGATTTATATCTTTAATAACAGATTAGACTTCAATATCTAATATATTTCATAATAGATTTATATCTTTAATATCAGATTAGACTTCAATATCTAATATATTTCATAATAGATTTATATCTTTATAACAGATTTGACTTTAATATTTAATATATTTTATAAGATTGATATCTTTTATAACAGATTAGACTTCAATATCTAATATATTTCATAATAGATTTATATCTTTAATAATAGATTAGACTTCAATATCTAATATATTTCATAATAGAATTATATCTTTAATAACAGATTAGACTTCAATATTTAATATATTTCATAATAGAATTATATCTTTAATATCAGATTAGACTTCAATATTTAATATATTTTATAATAGAATTATATCTTTAATATCAGA